CTGTACACAGAAATAAAGGTCTTACTGAAGTGCAGGTCAAAATGTATTAAGGGATACTGACAAATTGCTCTCTAAAATGGTTCTGCATCTATACCCCCATCCCAATGGAATACGAGAGTATCAGATTTAAAAATTTTTTCCATTGTGGTGTTAATAAACATATCTCTTTGTTTTAAGCTGCATTTGCCTGATTTGTAATGATTTGGTTATTTTCTCATGTTACTAGACTTTTGAAATTTCTACCCTGTGAAGTTTGTATTCAGATCTTACATATTATGTATATGCACACATATACATATATATAATTTTTCATGTCTTAAATATTTATATTTCTAATTCTAATCCTTTTTTCTCTTATGTATTTAGGAATAATTTCTCTCAATCTATTACTTGTCTTTTTTTCTTTTATCTTTTTTTTTTCCCCCATGATATATCTTTTTTCATTCTTTTACTTCCACCGTATTTGTATCTTCGGATGTAAAATGTTTCTATTGTACATAGCATATAACTGGATCCATGGGGTTTTTAAAAAATCTCTTACCATTTTTCTTCTGTTTCTCTGTTGTTGCCTTCTTTTGTGTTAAGCAGATTTTTTTCTAGTATACCGTACATATTTCTAGTAATCCCTTGTTCTTCAACTATGTTTTTCTGAGTTAATTTTTAGTGGTTGCTTTGGGATTACAATTAACCATGGAAAGCAATCTAGTTCAAATTAATAGCATCTTGATTTTAACAGTAGACAGATATTTTGCCCCAATATACCTCTGCTTCCACCTCACACCTTGTTACTATTATAGTCATACAAATTTCATCTTTATACATTAAAAGCCCATCAACACATATAATTATTGCTATGTGTATTTCTCTTGTAAATTAGATAGAAGAAAAGAGTACAATCAGAAATATGTTTATATTATCTTTTATATTTATCTATATAGTTATCTTTACTGGTGTTCTTTTTTTCTTTATGTGGATTTAAGTTACTGTCTAATGAGCCTGAAGGATTCCCTTTTGTATTTCTCATCAAGAAGATATGCTAACAAGAAATTCTCTTAAGTTTTTGTTTGCATGGCAATGACTTCATTTTTCTTAGTTTTTGAAGGATAGTTTTGCTAGATATACAATTCTTGTTTGACAAGAATTTTTTTTTTTTTTTTTTTTTTTTTTTTTTTTTTTTTTTTTTTTTTTTTTTTT